TAATTAAAATTTTCGAAACTGTCTACTGTAATGAAATTAAATTTTACCAATCAATCGATTTAACTGATCAACTGATTGTAATATTTCACTGATTTTTATGGTGCATACTATGGCAAGCCAAAATGGACAAAAGGTCGTTTGAATTAAATGCTAGAGATTTTCGATGTAGTCAAGAAAAGGGTCACTTTTTAAAAATGTTACGCGCGTTTTTTTATTTGTCATTTCCTAAAAAATTCATTTTCCTCTAATTGCACTATTATTACGAAATGGATGATTTAATTATGAAAGGGGACACCTCTTGCCTGAATACACCAATCTTTAATAATTAATAAATAAATATTATTATTATCATTATTATCATCAAAATATTGTAGAAGTCTATTAAGCATAGTTGATAACAGCTCAAGACCAATTTAATTGATTATGTAAATAGTCATAATCTTCAGATTGTAACAATGCATTTGTTGCTTGGATATAAGGTTGCTTGCCGAAACCTCTTAACGAATGCCGAAACTCTGTCGAAACTCTAATAAGCAATTAATGTGTAACTTGATGAAACTCTGCTTTGTCAAAACCCTCAAATGCGAAACTCTGCCGAAGCTCTATTAAAAAATTAGCGCGTAACATGTTGAAACTCTGCCGATTGATTTCTGGAGGAGTTTTGCCAAGCAATCATACTTGAATAATAACATTTGTGTGTGATCGAGAAATTGAGTCCTTTTCTTCTCAATTTTATCCTATGGTTTATCCAATATATCAACCACCAGTTAATCCCTCCTATCCACAAAATAATCACCCAATCAATTTTTCATTGCTCTCACCAACAAAACCAATTAATTCACAACCAAGAGACATACCATCAATAAATGACCTTTTAGAAAAATTAGATCAAAAGTATAGAGATGATTTGTTTACTCAATTTTTGGACAGTTTTATCAATGAATCAATTGATGTTTTGGATATTTTAACATAGATAAAATTGGTATAAGAAAAAAAATGATTAGAGAGGCAGAAAAATATAAAGATATCAAATATTAATTACAATAAAAATGAATATTCTTATTTTATTTAATTTATATATGTACACTTTTTAAAATATGAATGTGCCAAATTTGTTGTTATTTGCATACAGGCAACTGTTAATGCAAATATGGGATCCGCACAACTCTGCATAAATATATTGTTTCTTTTTATCCATTTTTTAATAAATGAAAATGATAATTCAATTGGATTGTAATCAGTGGAAAGAACAAAACATGACAACCAACTTCTTTCATTAATTGAATCATTTTATCATCATGGTGAATAACTACATTATCCATTACCAATACACAGTTTTTTTGTGGATAAGGATTCATTAATGGTAACTATAAAATAATAATTAAACAAAAATATTATATTATTCACATCACACATAAACATATATTTAATTACAAATAAACTTTTCTCCTATTACAACTTTTTTCTCCTTTTCCCTTTTCATTCATTTTATAATACCTAAATTATTTACATTACTTACAATTTGTGCTAAAATAAAACTTTGAAACCTTTCTTTGATGCAATTGCCTTCCATGATGTCCAAAGCAAATGTATCCTTCTAAAGTTAATGCTGGCAGTATAGTAAACCTTTTACCATATATAAAAACCACTTCTGATTGATTGGTTGATTTCTAAATGAGTACCCATATGAATGTGATATTGATCCTTCATCTTTTGAAGACTCATCTAAAAAAATTAGTTGTTCTGGGGAATAATAACTACATATTGTTAAAATGAAAAACCATGAACACTAGTTCACTTCTTTCTTTTGCAATTTTTGTTATCTATAATATAGAAGTTTTCATAAGAATCAACTTAATTTTAAAAAATTTGGTAATAATGTTATAATTCCACAATATTTTAATGAACAACATAATGTTGCAACTGATACCTCTTTATCAGTTTTCTTAGACATTTCAACTACCAATTCATCCAATAAAAATCAGGATTTTGAGTAATTAGTTGTTGCAATGACTATTTTTACAAAATTATTTATTTGTTAAAAAAATTATTTCAATAATAAAATTTGATGAACGATTTTATTAAACATACTTCTAAATCCTTCTTATCAATAATTTTTCTTCTTCCTTGCTGTCCTTTAATAAGAGTTTCAACACATCCCCAAGTTTTATATAAGTTAAGAATCCTTCTTACAGTTGAGATGCTAAAACATAACATATTTGCAATTATCTGATCTGAATAACCATCAATATGTAAAAACACAATTCTCCATTTCAAATCTGTGCTTAATTGATATATCTTCATATCTGAATAATGCAACACAGTAATTATTCATTAGAAAAATGTTATCATTATCTTTTCTTACTATGTTTTATATTTAACCACACTTAAAATTTTGATATAATATGTTATAAACACTAATTAAATAATTTTGGGAAATTTCAAAAAAGTTCAATCGAAAAGGAACAATAAATACATAGTTTTCCTCACTTTTCACTAAATATTTATATTTAACCATGCTTGAAATTTTGATATATTTTATTGTATAGACTAATTAGGAAAAGTTCACAAAAAATAGATAGGGATCAAAAATTCTCAATTGAAAAAAAAATATATATACATAATTTTTCTTATTTTTCACTAAATATTCTATATTTAACCACACTTGAGATTTCAATATATTATATTATAAAGTTTAATTAAGAAAATTTCATAAAAAAACTGAATTAAAAAATATTAAAATTAATAGTTTTATAATATTTATCTTTTGCAGATCTGTGTTGCCATAAATTTTTTGCAAACTATAATAATAATTATTATCATTAAAGAATTACTGGACATGAAAAATGTCTCTTATCTGTCATTTTATGATTCGTGTTCTGTTTAATATTGCTCTTTCTGTCATCAATAGACCTAATTTTTTGAGTTTTCTAATATTGATTTTCTTATCTAAAAGAAATTCTACTAAAATGTTTATTTCACACTGTCCATTTTAACTTTCTTTTTTGAATACCCGATTCTTGTCAATCAACATCTTGTTCTTGTTGATTATCTTCTTCAATATCTTCTTGTAGATTTTCTTCATTAGTACAGCCAATTTGATTAGATTACCTTCTTCTATATCTTGTTCTTGTAGACGATTATCTTCATTATTATATGGCCAATTTGATTGATGTGATTTTCTTCATTAGTATTGCCAATTTGGTTAATATGATTTTCTTCATTAGTATGATGGCCAATTTGGTTTTAACAATACATGCTGCCAAATCCCAAATGTACAAGTGAATTGGAACCAGCCTGTCAAAGAATTCCAAATCCCAAACTACTTTGTAAACCCATAGCATTCTGCCTCCCAACCAATAAGTGCCTAGGATTTGTGGAAATGATTAGCAACCTATTTGTTACACCAGATGTTTATTGGTTAAGGAAGCAAGGCAGAAAGATTGATATACATTTGGAATGTGTGTATAATTTGGGCAGCATATATAGTTTTAACAGTGGATTGAGGAATAAAAATCTGTGCTCATCTTCTGAAATTTTGTCTGGACAACCCAGTAAAAAAACATCAGATCTAAAATATTTAATTAAGAATTAATTAACCCCTTACAGCCTATTTTTTCTTGATAATAACATATTATTAAGGTCAACTTACATCTAGTCAAAGACCTTTTTAGTAACTTTACTATATTTAAGATCACCCATTGGTTAAAGCAAGAATCCATTCCAATGCTTATTTTATAAAGTGCACCATTTAGTGAAGATGAAAGTTGTTCATCAAATACTTGCCTTTTTAATTTATATGGATTATTGTTTGTAATCAGCTCATATTCTTTTGAAATGAAAGTATCATATCAACATGGCCAGACTATTCTAAATGTAATGGGATACATCCTCACGTGAATATGTTATGCAATCACAAATGTGTAAAGTTTTTAATACTTATGAAATTTCTGTTGTGTCATTCCAAGTGAGTTTTTTAAGATCATTTTCTAAATAATATATTAATCTTAATTGATATTCCTTGAACCTTGAAAAAATATCTATTGTACCTAATATTCACAGAAAACAAAAATAATAATAGGAAATAATAAATTGTACAACTAACAAAATCCAAAGTTTCAATTTAATATATACTTTAACATCACCATCTTGTTGTATTTGTTGTTCTATTAAATCATAATCAAATGTCAGGACTTCACTTACCCATTTGATTGTTGTTGAATACAATCATGCTCATTTTTGATTTCCTTTCTAAGAAATGAGTAAATTATTAATTAAACTAGAATGACAACAAGTTGTAATGATCACAACAACAACATATTCTTCTTTTAAAAAAATAATAACACTTACCTACGATCTTGAGCTACTCTGTTTTCTTTTTTCTTTTGGCATTTTTAGAAAAAGCAAAAGATTGTTGTTGTTGTTGTTGATCAATAAACACATCTATTTATTTATTACATGTAGTGTTGTACAAATTGTTCCATTAATTTAAATAAATTTTTTTTTAATAAAACAATTTTATTGAAGTGCCAGCCAATCATATTGAGAACATGGTCTCAATTCGAATTGCCTTTCTAAACTCTAATCTCTTTTTTAAACTAGTTTAGAAACCCTAATCTCTTTTTTAAACTAGTTTAGAAACCCTAAACTATTTTCGAAACTAATCCGAAACTCCTAAACTGATTTTTGACATATGATGTGTAACCATGATTATTGAAATCATTCTCTTCAAGTGACCAAAGTTTTTATCAAAGTTCATTTTATTTTGATATTATTGTCCTGACTATACATGAAGTCGAAACTATTTTGACCATTTGCAGATCTGGTCAAAATAGGGTCGAAATAAGGTTGAAACTGATTTTTACTATGTAGTTGCCTCAAGCCAAAACATTTCGACTTTGGGGTTTTAATTTCGACTTCATGTATATTCCTGACAATTAATTAATTATTAAATCGTTGGTTTAGTTTTAAAATATATTATAATTTTCTTATTTGTTCTAATATAAGTTTTCCTCTTTCTTAAAAATATATAAATTTTTTTAATCATATAATGTCAAACAATACTGATGTTGATATAAATAGTTCATCAAATTCAAAAAAATTTGGTGGACAACCAGAAAATGCAGTTAGCAACATTTTGAATGTTATCCTTCAAAATATCCAGGACATTTTGGAGCCAAATGCAAAGCATGTAATTGTGAATGGAGTAATGGAGTTGTTAATAAACTGCAGGTTCATTTGGCACATGAATGTGAATACATTAAAGAAGATCAAAAAAAGATATATGTATATTGTTGCAGAAAGAGATGGTGTAAGTGAATCTTTAGAAAATACTGCATATAAAGTAAATACACAATCACCTGCTAATTTTTGGGATAAAAATGAGATATTATCAAAAGAATGTGCAGTAATTATAGATTGTTCAATTTTAAAGGCTTTTATGGTTTGTGGTATCCCCTTTAGAATAATTGAAATCCTTTTTTTCATTAACATGTTAAAAAATCTCAGATCAAATTATAAACCTCCTTTATGAGATTGTCTTAATACTAAATTATTATCAGATGAAGCTGTTTGTGTGGATATAAAAAATTAATAATATTTTAGAAAAGGCTAACAACTTGACATTGGATATGAATGGTTTTTATTTTATTAAAATTATTTGTTTGGTTGGAATTTTTAGGAGCTTTGAAAACAGTTTAGGAGTTTGAAAACAGTTGAGGAGTTTCGAAACAATTTAGGAGTTTTGAAAACAGTTTAGGAATTCGGGCTCATTTTCTAAACCAGTTTAGAATGGTTTTAATTTCAAATAGTTCTAAACTCATGAGTTGAGGAAGACAACTCTAGTCTCGATATCTTCCATCCTTATGTTATTATGACATGTCAAGAGTTGTATAGTTTTGGTTGCATGTATAGTAAGAAAAAAAACTATATGTATCTAAAAGCTTGATCTATTTAGTATAATTTCCCTTAATTTCATGTTTGTTTCTCTTTATTTGAAGGCTCTGATACAAATTTTTATTTATATAGTTTTTTAGATAAAAGGTTATTATGAACTATCTAATATTAGCTAGTAATGACTTACAAATTAATAAAAACACTTTGGTAATGTCACCAATTAAATTTGGGAGAGCGTGTTTTTGGATTAGCGAATAATTTTGGTTAAGGAAGATAATAGTTTGTTTAAATAAAATATTACTATTTTATTTATTTAGTTTTATTTAGTTGAAACTAATTAACTTGTTTGCAAGTTTCTTTTACAGTAGGTCAAATTCGAGTTCTTTATACATGTTAGTTAATTATAAGCCCATTTGGGTTAGCATAGATAAAAATCCTTTTATGGATAGATCGGCGTTACACACATTTAATAGACATTTCAAAAAAAGATCAACAAT